ATATGGTGTAGTACATGCAGAATGAACATGTTCTACTTGTTATGTTAGACCTTATGATTTAAGAATTCTTGTCATTCCTAGTATTACATTATAGAGTTGCATGTTTTAGCTAAAGCTGAATATCCTCTATGCAATAATGCTCGTCATTACTATTATTATTATTATTATTATTATATTTATTATTATAGATGGCACACCCACTACGCAGATAAACAAGGTCCTGAGTCACCCCACACTCCCTATCGTTATTACTGCTCATGAGGACAAGTACATTTGCTTCTTTGACTCAAAGTCCGGTATGATTATCACTCATACACTAAAGAGAGAGAGGGGCGGGAACAGAGAGATAAAGCAAGAGGAGATCAATAGAAAACTGTTTCTACATTTACATGTAGTTACATACATGTACATGTAGTTGTGTTTTAAATTTTAATTTATGCATGTAAATGCTTAAGTAAGAAAGGGACAGTGGTTGTTCTTTTTTTATTTTTTCTTGTTCTTGTAAAAGGTCAAGTAACCCACTCTATGACTGCTCACATGGACGCTGTGACTGGCCTAGCCATTGATCCACATGGACTGTATATATTGTCAGGAAGTAAGAGCTCCCCCTTTCTCTATTTTTCATTCTCTCTTTCTCTCTCTCTCTCTCCCTAGGTCATGATGGTTCTCTGCGTTTCTGGAGTATGGAGACGAAGACTTGCGTTCAAGAGATCACAGCTCATAGGAAGAGATTTGATGAGTCGATATACAACGTGACTTGTCACTTGACTAAACCTTTCTTTGCCAGTGCTGGTGCAGATGGCATAGCCAAAGTTTTACTCTAGTATAGATTATTATTATTATTATTATTATTATGATTTTTTGATAGAGAAAGTTCTTTTTATTGTACAACAACTCACTACCAAGTTGGCACATCGTTGTTATTATAATTATATATATATATATGTAATTATAATAATCATTATTATTACTATTATCATTATTATTATTATTGTTATTATTATTATTACTTTCAAGCAATTAAAATAATAATTTTTGTGTGATATAATCACGTGATATTTGGTATTATTGTTAATTAATAGTTTTTTAATGGTTAAAGATGGCGTCCAGTAGCAAACCAGAACCTGGTGTGACTGTACTTAATCTCGCTTCTCTTAACATCCAGCAATTGGATCAGTTAAAAAGCTCCGTGGAAGAGGTAAATTTTGATTCTGATTTCCTCTTTTTCCTTTATTCACAGGATGTAGGACTACTCACGACTTCAATGGCACAACTCAAGATTGTGCAACAAAAATATTTAGAGTCGAAATCAGCTATAAATTATACTGCCCCGGCCAGTGAAGGTACATTATATTTTGACGATTTTTTTCTAAATTTTTCGTACGTGTAGGAAAGGAAATATTAGTACCTTTAACATCGTCTGTATCCAAATAATGATAATAATGAATAATAAAAATTTTAGTCATTAATAATAATTTTTTATTGTTAAATTTTCTTAACTTTCCTTCATCAGATGTATGTGCCTGGCCTTTTAAAGCATAATGATACTTTCATGTGTGACATAGGAACAGGATATTACGTTGAAAAAGTAATAATGGTTATTTGTCCTCATTTTAAAATTAAATTATAGAGGTTTACGATGTTTTTTTTATCCTAGCATTTTCTGATACATCCTTTTGTTTAATTTATTTTTAGAAGCACAAAGCTGCATTAGAATTTTTTCAAAGAAGAACGGACTACGTTACTTCAAATCTGGAGAAGCTCCAACAGAGCTTAAAAGAGAAATATAAACTCAGAGAAAGTGAGTCAGGTAGCACCAGGTGCAAAATAAAAGAGCTGTTCCAAAATTGGGCCAAAGTCCCTGTACTATAGTACAGTGATTTCAGCCAAATTTTGTCAAAAATGACTAGGAGAGAATTCTCCATTTTTATAATTTTATTTCATACATATACATGATATTATTTTGTGTTTCAAATTTGAACTGATTCCGATCAAATTTGGATTTTTTATGAATTTTTAAAGTTGCTCCAAAATTGGGCCAAAGTCCCTGTACTATAGTACAGGGATTTCAGCCAAATTTTGTCAAAAATGACTAGGAGAGAATTCTCCATTTTTATAATTTTATTTCATACATATACATGATATTATTTTGTGTTTCAAATTTGAACTGATTCCGATCAAATTTGGATTTTTTATGAATTTTTAAAGTTGCTCCAAAATTGGGCCAAAGTCCCTGTACTATAGTACAGGGATTTCAGCCAAATTTTGTCAAAAATGACTAGGAGAGAATTCTTCATTTTTATAATTTTATTTGATACATATACATGATATTATTCTGTGTTTCAAATTTGAACTGATTCCAATCAAATTTGGATTTTTTATGAATTTTTAAAGTTGCTCCAAAATCGGGCCAAAGTCCCTGGTACTTGGTTTTGGGCAATTTTATTTAAAAATGAATAATGTAATAGCACCCATTTCTGCATTGTAGGAATGATAGTTAGCTGATAAATATTATTTTGCTTTATTAGGTATCATCAGTACAATGCAGGCCAAGTTCCATTGACATTTGTTTGATCAACAATGTAAAAATACTTATTATTATTATTATAAAAAATTAATTATTAATAATTATTATGAAAATAAATGTGAATCAAAAAAATCAAGATTATATTTGATGATATTCTAAGGATACATCTAAACCCACCAAAGGTCCCAGACTGCTCAACCACGTCAATAAATAAAAGGAACTTGTGTCAAGTCCGGAGGAAGACATCAAAGTGGAGGTGTGGCATGGATGGACGTGAAAATAAGGCGTGGTCAGGAGTGGGTGATCCGTCCCAGTCACCATCGACCATTTGTTATCGGTTCGGGTAGATGAAGGAAGCCACGCCCACATCTCTTCCAGTGATAGACGTCGTCCCATTTCGTTAGTCATTGAGAAGTAGAGGATTGGTACAGAATAGGAGGGATTATGAATCACGTGATAGTCACATGATATGCACATGCCCTCTTGCTCTACGATTGTTTTCTTGCAGAGGAACTTGATCCCATCAATCTCTCTTATGCTCCAACCATCTCTTAGCTTATCTGATATTTGAATAAATTGAGATATATTAATTAGAAAATTCTCATAGGACAGGGACATTATTACTATTCATATGCTCAAGTTTGTGGGTGTGGCTCAAATTCAAGTTGATTTCAACGCCCACGCACCAGTTATTGTTTTGTTTGAGATGCTCAAGTTTTATTACGAGCCCTTTTCTCAGCCTTCCAGGGCAGTATGGATGCTACTAGAAGCAACTGGAGTTCCATATACACCTTGCTATGTAGACTTAGTGGCAGGCATGTTCATCTATTGTGATGCACTTATAAAAAGCTTTATATATGTAGGTGATAATATGAAAGAGGATTTTCTTAAAGTGTCACCAACTGGCAAGGTTCCTGCTATCAATGATGATGGATTCTGCTTGATTGAAAGGTCTGGCTTTACTTAAATTTTCTGCACTCTTTACTCTCCTTTCTTATCCCACCCTATCCCTAGTGCTGCAATATTAAAATACATTGTGACCAAGTATCAATTATCAAACCATTGGTATCCCACAGCTGACCTGTGCAAAAGAGCAAAAATTGATGAATACTTGAGCTGGCATACAGAAAATCTTAGACGTGGGGCGGGAATCTACATGTTTTATAAGGTGAGTTTGTAGATCTAAACTCTATAGACATAGCAACAAAGGGTAATTTTCTGTTTATAGTACTTTATCAAGAAAGTCAGTTTTGGCATTCCTCCTGATGAAAACAGAGCAGGAAGTGCTTTGCAAACGCTTCATAAGAGTGTTAAAATCATTGAAAGTTATTATCTAAAAGACACTCCATTCATTCACAGTCAAGAGATCACCATAGCTGATCTTCAAGCTTTATGTGAACTAACTGAACTGTGGTCAGTGGATGGTGAGATTGATCCTTTGAGAGAGAATCCCAAGTTAAACGAATGGCTGGAGAGATGTACCAAAATACTTAATCCTGCTTTTGACAAAGTCCATGCTCCATTGCATGAAGCTAGAGAAAATGGATTTTTTAAGGAGAAAAATTAATGATGATGATAATAGATTTAGACATTATATTCTATACTGCTATAATTTTTTTAATGAATTAGAGTTTGAGTGCCCTTTTCCTTTTATAATTTCTTTAATGTTACTATAAACTGCATGAATTTTTTCTCTTTAAATAGTCAATCTCCACACTCCAATGCTCATTACACCTGAAAATTAAGAAGTTGCTATAAATCAAAGCTGAGTGATTTTTAATGCTTTACGGTTTACCAATTCCAAGAGCAAAAAGAAAGTGGCGAGTCTTGCTACCAGGAGGTAGTTTAGCTCTCTGATACAGGATATAAGTAGCACCTCCAAAGCAGGTCAATGCTCCAGTCATCTTGCAAGCAAAGCAATCAGCAGAAGAAACTGAAGAAACCCTGACATCATCCTTCATTATTCTTAGCTCCACCTTCCTTAACGTTACATCAGATTTTAGATCTACACATGCACCTGGCACGTGTTTGTAGCTTGCAAAGAAGAAAGGTCACAGATGCAGACAATGTCTGAGCCTCTTTTAGCTCCAGCAGCAGATGAATCTGAGACTGTTCCTGCCAGTAAGAAGAAAAAGGTGTCCCTCCCTTCACTCGGATCAACAAAGTACAGATTTTTTGGATGATTTTAACTTCTTTTATTATTTTAGGTTTAATTTTTTGTTTTTCAAGAGACTTTGGAAGATACTGAGGGTCTTCTTTCCCTCAGTCCGCTCGTGGACATTAGGTTTTTTTATAATATTCTTGTTCATTAGAGCCTCAGGTAATAGCGACTAGGGATCCCTAGGAGGCTCCACTGTCTATTAATGTACATTTATTCTTGCATGCGTGTGGCAATGTGTTATGGTAAGCCAGCTAGGGCATGTATGTAATGTATGTACGTGCTCTGCCGTCAATATTTTTATTCTATTTTTAGCCGAATACAATTATTACAATACCGGTTTGATTCCAAGCAAGTTCTATGCGTCCCTTACATCACGTGACAATAGCAACTTTAGAGAGAGTGTCTATCAGTCACTCATCATTGTTGCTTCAGCTTGTATTGTAAGCCTATTCTTTTTGGTATGCATGACTATATAAGACTTTGTTGCTATAGTGTAAGAGTGCTGTAGACCTGATGGCTAACATAATATACATAAGATGGAGGTGTCTGCTCACTCGTCACATTCAGCGACTTTACTTCAGCAATCTCAACTATTACAAGCTAAATGTTATTGAGAAGATTGTCGACAACCCGTATGTGACTCTAGTCTCCAGTGCAGCAATATTGCATGCTCTTGTTCTTTTATGTAGCGATCAACGTATTACTCAAGATGTCGAAAGGTTCTGTAATGATTTGGCTACACAGATACTCCCTAAACTCATCCTGTGGCCATTTATTGTTGGCTACTACACATACAAGACTTACAACACGTGAGTCTAGTCCATCAGACTCTCTCCCCTTGTTACATTTACAGCTCCTCCTGTTAATAGAATGGGCTTTATTGGAATTGTTGCTATATACGGATTATTTGCTGTAGCAACTGTTATTAACAAGTTTCTAATGGGGCCAGTCGTTGCACTTATTGTCACACAGGAAAAGAGAGAGGGTGATTTCAGGTAGAAGGATCTTATGCTCTGCACATGTTTATTTAATTGTATGTTGTTGTTTAGGTTTCAGCATGTTGAAGTGAGGACAAATGCAGAGTCCATAGCATTTTCTAAGTAATTTTGTCATGAGGAGATGTACTAGTTATATAATTTTTTCTCTTTATTATTGTAGTGGGGGATCTCTTGAAGAATCAAAATCTAAGGAACTAATGGGAGTATGTTTTACACATGCAATATACATGACTACTTATTTTTATGTTTTTATAGAAATTGTTTAAGACACAGTTGGAAGTAGCCCACTGGTCATTTCCCCTTAACAGTAAGCCCATTCCTTCCTCTAATGGACCTGTACTTAATCTTAAGTGTCATTTAATGGCTTTTCTGTGTGAATGTTTATTGTTGAGTCTTTGAGTGTATTTTGTTGTTACAAAATCGCATTATAGAGCATCTGCACATGCTCTTTGTTGATGCTCTTTTAATTTATTATTCTCTAATTTTAAAAAACTTTTCATTTTCCTTAGCTCAAATGTCCTTTATTTTCTCTATATAGTGTCCGTTGATTTGTTTGACTACCTCAGCTCCATCATAACATACATTGTTCTTGGTGTTATCATATTTTCTGGTGGATATGACACACTCTCCTCCTCTGAGCTGTCCAGTCAAATTAGTGAGGCAAGGACATCATAGCTTCTCTTTTTGTTTTATTTTTTCTCTCAATAATAATATTAGGTTTCTTTTTTCTCTTTATATTTACTAAATAATTTCTCAACACTTGTCGATCAGTCCAACAATGTTGCTGACCTAGCTGGATATGCCCACAGGTTTAACTAGCTAGCTCCTCCTAACCCTCTATTGTAATGGTTCCTCCTTATTGTAGAATTGGTCATTTTCTTGAGGTCCTGCAAGCTTTAAACAAGAGGCAGGCATCATCAGTTTGTGACAGTAATGATGAATCTAATGATGATGGGAATGATAATAAAGAGAATGGTATTGTATCAAATGAAGTCACTCCTGTTAACATAAGGTACATGTACATAAGAGAGAGAGAGGGAAAGAGAGAGAGAGGAGAGGTATAGGATGTGCCAATCTTTTGTTTTTTAGAGAGTCTGTGATTGAGTCTGATGTTGCTGCTCAGTTTGAAGATGTGACTGTAGCTACACCTTCGGGAGGAGACTCATCAAACTTGTCTATACTGGTGGAAGGTGAGAGCATCCAGTACACACATTGGGAATGTGTTGTCATATATCCATTGTCCGTGATATCTTTTATTTCAGGGTTGACATTTCATTTTGAGAGAGGTAGGAATATACTCATATCAGGACCAGCTGGTTAGTTATTGCTTTATTTGACTGCAATCTCTATATTATTATTGTTGTTGTTACTGTTGTAGGGTCTGGTAAGAGTTCAATTTTAAGGGTTCTGAAACAGCTTTGGACCCCTCTCAAAGGTATTACATACATAGTGTATACTGTATGTAGTAATGTAGATGCATAGGGAAAGCTCAAATAGTATTATCTGATAGTGAGAGTGAGCTGATGTTCTTACCTCAGAAACCACATCTAACCATTGGGTCACTGGCTGATCAAGTGAGTCTTAAAAGGAAAGGTGGTTGGTTTAAATATGATTTATTTTAGGTGACCTATCCAGAAAGGCATAAAAGAGATTATATTGACACTGGGGAGCTTGGTAATTATTATAATAAAATTCCTCTTCTTTATTTCCCTTGTTCTCGTACTTACAGATTCTGTATTGTTTGAGAATGACATTGATGAAGCATTGAGACTGGCAAAACTGGTAAGGCTTTAAGATTGATATGTGCAACGCTCATTTTACTACTATTGTAGTATTCAGTGAAGGAAAGATTAGGAGGAATTCATGTTGTATATGATGGGAAATGGTAAGTGAGCTAAAAGCATGCTTTATAAGTTTACAGATATACATGTAGAATACAGCTTTTTGAGCAACTTTAAAAATTTGTAAAAATCCAATTTTGATCGGAATCAGCTGAAACTTGCTACACAATATAAGAACAGGTATATGTTTCAGAGAATATTATAAAAACAAAGAATTTTTTCTGAGTCATTTTTGACGAAATTTAACCAAAATCCCTGTACTTATAGTACAGGGATTTTGGTCAAATTTCGTCAAAAATGAAAAGGAGAGAATTCTCTGTTTTTATATTTTTTTCTGATACATACACATGTTTTTATGTTGTGTAGCAAGTTTGAGCTCATTCCGATCTAATTTGGATTTTTTACGAATTTTAAAATTACTCAAAAAACGGGTCAAAGTCTTTGAACCAATTTTTGAGTAACTTAAAAAATTTATTTAAAAATCAAGATCGGGGTGGACCTTATTTTATATCCTAAATTACTGAATATTCAATGTAGTTTATTGCATTTTATTGTTAAGGTCTGACTACTTGTCTCCAGGAGAAATGCAGAAAATGGTGTTTGCTAGACTTCTCTACCACAAGCCATCATTTGCTAGTAAATAAATGCAGTATCACTCTTCATCTCGTGTGTAGTTTTAGATGAAGCTACGTCATCTCTGAGTGAAGAAGATGAGACCTATTTCTACTCTCTTCTACAAGAGATGGGCATTACATTTCTGAGCATAGGCCACCGATCAACCATTAAAAAGGTATAGTCATCAACATGTACATGTTAAGGTTTATAACTTATACTGCAGTATCATCAATTGGTTCTTGCACTGACTGGCAAAGGACAGTGGACCCTTGGTTTGGTGGAATAGATTTGGATATGAAAAGCTTAGTATATTCTATTTATTATGAATAAATTATTTTTTTTGCTGAATGAACTACACATGTAATTCTGAACAAAGGCTGTGTACTATAATCATAATTATGTGAGGAATTATGCTTTAATATGTAAATACAGACAGGCTGGTTCATTAATTAGTTTTTCACTGAATAGTTTCAGTTCCTTATAAGGCTGTTGTATTGTCCATTCGTGTATCCATGAGCCAGTAAACAACACGGTTTGGTATTTGTTATGGGACAGGCTAATAAACTATGTTGGAAGTCAAATCAGTTACTGTATCTGACTCCTTTAAAGTCAACACAGTTGCAGACCTGCAGCCTATATGATGTCTACTTAAAATGCAACAATTGGGTCTATTGTTGTATCAAGAATGATAAGTATAAAAGGGAGACTGAGAAGGAAGAGTTGAGAGTGTGACAATAGCCTTTTTGTGTGAGTGTGTGTGTGCCTGTCTGCAAACAAGATGCTTCTCCTTAGCACGATTTTTTGTTTATTTTTATCTCTCAACCTTACAACTGCTCAGCTTGATCCTGAGGGAACAGAGAGCCCAGCTCTTGTACCCTGTCCTCCTTGTGACTGCAGTAAGCCTGTTAGCTGTGAGGAGCACGACATTGACAATCCCTGCAATTGCTGTGCAAAGTGTTACAGAAGAGTTGGAGAAGTCTGTGGAGCTGATGCTGGAGAATGCACACCAGATCTGCTCTGCTTGCCTGATGACCCTTACTCTGCAAGCTATAAGGGAAAATGCTATGGTGAGTAATATATCATGTGTGAATTGCATCAATGTGCATATTCTTTTGTCATTTAGAGATTACACCTTGCTTGACTTTCGGTTGCTCTGTAAAAGGAGACAAGTGTGAATGTTATTATAATAATGTCTGTCCACTTCAGAGACTCCCTTTTTACACAAGGGAAGAGTGCGAGGATACATTAAAAAGTGAGAACAACTCCTCAGAACGTTGCATTAATTTTATTGTTATTTGTTTGTAATGCAGTTAAAAAGTGTAAAGAGGTAAGATGTCCGGTCCAAGAAGACTGTGGTGAAGGAATGTATTTTGAAGAAGGTCCATCATTCTTTGATCATTGTTGTCCAGTTAATGGTCATTGCGTGTGCAATGTCTCAATGTGCAGTGGACCACCAGAATCTTGTCCTGTTGGTACCAAGCTAGCTGTGACAAGATCAGCTGATCAGGGAGCAGGAGTTTGCTGCAATGAATATGAATGTCAATTAAGTGAGTCCCTCTTTTTAAGTATAAAGATATTATGTTAATTGTCTTTTCTCAGTCACCTGCAGTCATAATGGTGTAAAGTATAACTTTGGTGATGAGTGGAGAGATGACTCCTGCACTACATGCACTTGCACTGAAACTGGTGCAGAGTGTGCATCAGTGAACTGCTCTGAGCCCACTGATTGCTCCATCACTTACATACCCGAGGGAGAATGCTGCCCCGTTTGTTTTGAGTCAAATGAAACTGCTAACCCACCAGCCAATGCACCATTAGGCTGCATTACCCTGGAAGGAGAGAGTCACATTAATGGGGAGACATGGGAGATTAATCCGTGTGTATCCTGCAGGTGTAATAATAATGAAATAAAGTGTCATGAGAAAGTCTGTGATGCTGTTCCTTGTAACATTGAGGAAGGACAAGAGTATGTATTTCCTGTGGGAGCCTGCTGTCCGATATGCAAAGGTTAGAATCCTTAATCTATTGTCCTATTGCATTGTTTTGTCTTTGCTTCTCATTTTATCAAGTTTATTCAATGCTTTGTTCATCATTCATTCTTTTCTTTTAGACAAAACACCTCCCACTGGCTCACCTACTGTCGTCCTTATGCCTACTTCTTTAATGACTTCTTCAATGATTTCTACAATGACTTCTTCCAGTACTATTACAGTTACTGAAACTCCTTCCCCTAGCAATGATGAAGATACTCCTATGGATAATATACCTAACATTGGGAACAATGGCCCTAGCAATGAGCCTACCACGCCTAGCAACACCGAGGAAGCAACCCCGACCACCAAACCAGGACCCACCCAAACAAGGAATCTCGTCCTTCTTCTCAACATACCTTATATGGAAGTGAGTAAAATGTGGGATCAGTTCTCTTCAGAGCTAGCCCTCAAACTCAAAGAGAGAAAGATAGAACTGCAAGATATTAGTGCTCTACCTGATGTCTCATCAACAGTGTAAGCATACAATCACTTTAATGTATAGATCTACATGGAAAGTTTAGTACATACTGTACTCTTCATTGCATCTACTAGAGTTTCTATCTCCTCTTGTATATGCATACTAACTGAGTTGCTTTAACTATATGTATAATGTTATTTTTGTTCTATAGGAATGCTACACTATTTACTCTTAAACTGAAGGAAAATGCCACAGAGGCCATTAATTTGGAAACATCAGAGTCTGACATTGCAGTCATTGTGAACCAAATGGCAGTTGATTATAACATGATGCCAGGAAATATGAATAACAACAATAATAATAATGGTGAGTATTATTGTTTTTTTTTATCTTATTTTTTATCATTTTTTATATTCATGCAGTTCAACCAGTATCAGATGAAAGCTATGACACTCATTTAACTGCTACTATTATAGTAATGACTCTACTAGCTGCTGTGACACTTGTCAGTTTCATTGGTGTGGTCATTATACTAGTCATCATTAACAGACGACTCAAAACAGCAAAGACAATTAGAGGAACACCAACTAAATCAACCAATAAAGGACCTTAAAATTATTATTGTGATTATTTGATATCAATTTTAAAACAATAATGTAATGTATCATAGTAGTAACAGTAATGTAACAAATTAAATTAAAATATATACCATTAATTTTTGAGAATCTGATAAAACACTGGTGGGTGGGGTAGATCTTTTAATAGGGTACTAAGGGTAGATTAAATTAGAAAAAACATGGAGGTGGAAGAGGGAAATGGAACTAGGGATGCAATTTACTGTGGTCAATCAATCAAAGACATTTTGAGACCACTGCTGGTAGTATATTCTACAAGTGGATCTGTTTGTTTTATCTTTTGTCTTGTTGCTATTGCTGCTATGGTAATTTTTAGGTTGTTCAAGCTACTGACGCACAGGCTTATATTATATACTCTTGTTTCAATTTTGTCATATTCTTTGACATCAATTTTCCAATTTTCTGGCTTGTGGTGGGACTTTTGGGAAGATGATGAGTACACTGATGTATGCATTTTCATTGGTTTTGCTCAAGAATATGCTGATTGGGTGATGCTGCTATCAACGCTGATGATGACACTTCACTTGACTGTGATGGTTATGCTACCTTCATATTATGAAAAGGTAGCTAAACTGGAGCCATTCTACCTCATTTTTCCATGGATTTTCCCCATCTTTGTGGCATGGGTGCCATTTTTTCACAATAACTATGGTATTGGGGGTTCGTGGTGCTGGATAAAGCTGCATAGAAACTGTTCGTTCAATGAGGAAGGAGTAATTATGATGTATGCAGTTTGGTATGGTGAGCTCATTGTTGGATTAATCCTTAATAACATTGCTCTCATTATTATTGGGTTGACACTCTGTAAACGTGCTTATAAAAATACAACGTCCCTCGATTACAGGAAAGCTCTCAAGCAGACACTACCTTTGCTTGCTTATCCAATCACATATCAATTCCTCAGCAGTTTTGCTATAGCTAATCGAATATATATTGCATTTACTGGAGGAAAGTATAATAAGTGGTTGTTTTATGCCCATGCTGCTACAGCTCCATGTTGGGGAATTTTCGCCCCAATCTTCACATTTATCTATTTATTATTCCTTTTAAAAGTTATTAAAGAAAACATCAAGCAGTGGTGCTGCTGCTTCAAGACTAAGAAAAAACAGAGACAGCTCATCATTAACAAAAGAAACTATAATGAAGATGAAAGTGCAAGAGAGCGACTGATAGATCCCCACGATCATTTGACTCAATATGGAGTGACAGTAGTAACATGTCCAACAACAACTGCTGAATTCAAGAGGGAGAGTGAAATAGATGAAGAATATGAAATTATTGACTAACAATAGTTCATAATGTATTTTAAGCAACTTTAAGATGTAGAATGAGTTTTAAATTATTTTGGTTTAAAATGTGAGCTCAAAAATGAAAAGTTTCATAACTCTTGCATGTGTTATAATAGGCTACACATCACCTTTATGGTCTCAAATTATTGCTACCTTGTTTAGTGTCTTTTTTGTACACATTAAATGATCAATTCTGCATCGTTTCACATGTTATAATCACCATTTGGAAAACTATAAGAGATATCTTAATGCACAATCTTTGTCTGAATACAACTTCGAAAACAACTTGCTCTTTTAGTAAATCACAATTCAAAACAGTTTATTTCAGTGTAACAGAGCGCTACAGTAGGAAGATGCAGAAAGGAGACGAAGGTGAGTGGAGTTGCCATGCAATGAAGAATCAGTCAAGATCACTGCTAATGGTGTATTGCACTAGTGGATCCATCTGTTCAATCCTTTGTGCCATAGCTATCATTGCTATGATAGTCTTCAGAGCCTTCAAAACACTAACAAACAGACTCATCCTCAATAATCTTATTGCCATATTTTTCTTGTCTTTGGTATTGGCTTCTCAGTTCCTGGACCTATGGGCAAGTCTTTGGGAGCGTGGGCGTAAGACCATATGTGATGTAGAAGGAGGCATTGGTGAGTATTTTGCTTGGGCAATGCTGATATCAACTGTTATGATAACAGTCCATTTGACCGGGATGGTCATTTTTCCCTCGCTACATGAGAAAATTGTTAAATTGGAAGTATTTTATATTCTGTGTCCTTGGATATTCCCTTCTCTTGTGTCTTGGATACCATTCGTCCTTAATAATTATGGGTTTGCTGGTTCGTGGTGCTGGATACGAATATACAGTGAGAACTGTTCACTTAACGAGAATGGAATAATAGAGATTTATGCAGTTTGGTTTGGTGAGCTAACCATTGGATTAATCCTTAATAACATTGCTCTCATTATTATTGGGTTGACACTCTGTAAACGTGCTTATAGAAATACAACATCCCTCGATTACAGGAAAGCTCTCAAGCAGACACTACCTTTGCTTGCTTATCCTATCACATATCAATTCCTCAGCAGTTTTGCTTTAGCAAACTGGATATACTTTATAGTTCACAATGGAAACTTCAACACATTCATGTTTTATGCTCATGCAGCTACATCTCCAAGTAGAGGGATCTTTGCTCCCATAGTTACTTTTATTTATCTTATACTGCTTCGGAAAAAAATTAAAGGAAACGTTGGAAAATGGTGTTGCTGCGTAAAATGTAAAAGAAATCAGAAACATAATCCTGTTGAATTCAGTCGCGCATTGACCAACCCATTGATAGTTTCCAGTGATAGCTTCACTCAATATGGAATCACCACGTCCTCGCCAACCACATTTCATGTTAGGAGGGACAGTGAAGTAGATGAAGACAGGATTACACGGGATGGAAAAATGAGAAAATTAAATGCATTCTTCATGAACTTCACAAAAAATTAGTTTGTATTTAGATCGTGTGGTAACAAGGCTGTCATAATTATTGTATGTAGAATTCAGTCATGTCTTAAATCATAAATTTTTTATCTTTTAAAAATAATAATACAACAAACAAATCACTCATAAGCATTAGCTGCAGTGCTGTGTGTCTGTTTTCAATGGATTGCTATAAAGAGGAAAGTAATATCAATGATTCTCTCAGTCTATATAGTAGATAGAGGAGCATATAATAATGTAAAGGTCTCATTACAGAGGAAGAGTTTATAAAGGAAGCAAACTGAAGGGAAGTGAGTAGAGCATCTGTGTATTAAATGTGTGCAGAATGATGAGTGAATGAGGTGGTGAGTGGTGTCATTCCTGCATCTCATCTGGTCTGTCGTGTGGGTTAATCATTCCGGGTACGTCCAGCAGTAATTGACGTTTCTTAGTCTGCTCCTCCAGAAGTTGTCTCTCTCTTTCTTCAAGATAAAGGTCAGAGGCATCTTCACCAGTGTACTCCTAAAGACAGTACAATCAATAACTTACACACTATCAATTCCCTAAAACCAATAACTCAATGCGCTATCAAATCCCTTATGTCATGAAGTGACTAAGTTTCTAAGTAACTTGATGCTATTACCTTAATTTGTACAAGAAAATCTCTGAGATGTTCTTTGAAGCTGGGTATGTTTTTATTCAAATAAAATAATCCTTCAATAAATACCTTGATCTGGGCACTGAAGTAGAAAAAGACAAGAGATTAAGTAAGTACATTTGAAGAGGTAATTTGATTTAGGTATCACTGATTTTACTTACTCTGAGAGATGTCCAAATGCTTGCTTAATGAGTGTAGCAACATATTCTTGAAGGAAGAAGGCATTGGTAACAGCCTTTATAGCATCAGGATCAAATAGCAGTACTGGGATCTTATCTTCTTCAACCAATTGAAACATGTAAGCGAGAATAGTAGCATGCATTGTTAGACCTATACAGAAAAGTTAAAGTAATAGTACCAAGAGTAAATATTATTTAATCTTGATAATTATTTAATCTTGATAATACTAACATCATTCAAAAAGGGTCTTTGTAATACTTACATGTACAATAGTACACGTATCATTTTGCTCACTTGCTGTGTGTGAGGTATCAGTAACTACTGCTAGAACGTGTTGCATCAAGTCCAAGAAATAAGTCTTGAAGAAAACTGGAGCTTGTTCTGAGGTGGAGAACTTTTGAAGGAGAGAATAGAGTATGTTGAGACCAATCTCTGCCACATTTCTCATTGTGTGCTTTAATGCCCAAATGACAGAATCAACGTATAGCTTGAACATAGGTGAGGGTATCTGTAAAAGAGCTGGAGAGAAAACAATCTTTAAGTGGCTGTAACTCAAAAATTTGAGATCGGAATTAGCTCAAACTTTTTATGTAGCATAAGTACATCAATATGTATCAGAAAATGTAATAAAAATGGGGGGTGATTTCGGAGCCATTTTTTTGGAAAAACCATGGGCTATAGCCTTGGGTACTTTTCAGAAATTTGGAGTTTTTAAAACATGGCCATAACTCGAAAAATTTAAGTCGGAATTGGCTCAAACTTTCTACACAGCATAAGGACATCAATATGTATCAGAAAATGTAATAAAAATTGGGGGTGATTTTGGAGCCATTTTTTTGGAAAAACCATGGGCTATAGCCTTGGGTACTTTTCAGAAATTTGGAGTTTTTAAAAAATGGCCATAACTTGAAAAATTTAAGTCGGAATTGACTTAAACTTTCTACGTAGCATAAGTGCATCAATATGTATCAGAAAATGTAATAAAAATTGGGAGTGATTTCGGAGCCATTTTTTGGAAAAAACCATGGGCTATAGTACCGTGAAATTGTCCTATTGGGGTGATTTCAAAAAGCATGAGGTACATGTACATGACCAATGGGAGAAGGATTTATACAATGTACAATGTAGATAAAACTTACATGGAAAGCAATGCTGTGTAAAGCACTGCAGCATGCAGAAGAAGTGTAGCCTGTGTTCAGGGAACTCCTCCATATCTTTATTCAGCATTTCCAGTGTGCATTCAAACAATGCCTCCATAATAGTGGGGACATCAGTAATAGCTTGTTCCTAATACGCATGGCAAAATAAAGTTTAAAAATACAAGTGTCTTTAATTATTATAATTTATATTTACTTGCAGTTTCTCGACTATACAAGTAACTGTACTCAGTACTTCTGGCTCACGAGCTTGCGGGACATTTTTATTATAGTCAATTAAAATGGCGTCCAGTAACGGAGGAAGAAAGTGTTCTCTGACCTAAAGAAAAGTCAGGTGTCTTGCTCAATCTTTTTGTCATCTCTCTCTCTATTTTCTTTCCCTTACCATGATGGTATCGTGACATTTTGAGACCCAGCAGGAAAGGAATTTGAGTGTTTCTTTTTTAATTGTTCTCATGCCAGCAATCAACGGTTGCTTTGTTACATGCTCACCTAAAAAAATTCAAAATTTTCACGAATACACCTCATTAATTATTCATTATAATTAGACCACACCTCCTGTCATGACTGCATTGGATATGTTCTCACTGAGACACTTGTACACATTAAGGAGATCAAGATATATTCTTGCCAACTAAAAACAAAGATAAAATGTAAATAAAATTGATATTATAATGCACACACAATATCAGAATACAAATACATGTACATGTAATCACGCTTAGTACATATACCTGAATGACAAACGGATGTCCCACAGCAGAACATGCTCTAACATTAATTTTAAGTACATGACCCAACTGCTTTATACAATCAGGATTCTGTAAGACTGTGAGATCCTAGAGAAAAAGATGACAAGTATTATATGATAATAATAAATGTAAGAAATGGTCATGTACAGAAGTTGCTCTTTGTATGATACTGTCCCACAGTTCATTAGGCAGTGCCATATACTTCTCTATCAGTCTCTCTCTAGCAACATCATCCTAATAAATACATAAAATAATAGTAATAATAATAATAATAATAATAATAAGGTTTTGTTTGTACATGCATGTTCATTATTTTTACTTATAATAATAATAATAATAATAATGGTAAAATAAATAAATAAATAATAATAATAAACTAACAATGATTATATACACCACTTACTGTTTGTGCTGATATCATGTATCCAACAGCTTCATAAAAGGTGTGGACCTGATGTGGCTCAAGGTCACATATTATTGCTCTTATGTTGTTCAGTATCTCTTCAATGAATGGCATCACTTCTTGAGGTTGGAGCTAAAAAAAGAAATAATTATCAGAATATGTAGCTGTAGATTTTTAACATGCAAGTCTAAAAATATATTATATTGTACCTGCACAAAGCTAAAAAAAGAAATAATTATCAGAATATGTAGCTGTAGATTTTTAACATGCAAGTCTAAAAATATATTATATTGTACCTGCACAAAGCTAAAAAAAGAAATAATTATCAGAATATGAAATATGTAGCTGTAGATTTTTAACATGCAAGTCTAAAAATATATTATATTGTACCTGCACAAAGTGTCTTCTGCATTTCTGAGCTATTTTGATGAAAGTATCACAAGCCATGTCTTGCACTCCTTCGTGTGTCTCTACATTACGTGGTTATTAATAACCATGCCCTCTTTAATAACTAACCATGCATAAATTCAAACAGCTTGTTGACAACGGTTTTAAGGAATTTCCAATGGGCTCTACACACATAAACAATTAAAAATGAAATATAAGATACATCAAATGCATACATATGCAATTAGTTAAAGATTGATTGACCATAAAATTAATAAATCGCATGATAAAGAAAACAAACAATTGCAATAAGCCAAATATGTAATATGAAACACATACTACACACAGTACACAGCAACAGTATCACACAAGAATACACTGAATTAACATATGTACATGGACATACAAGAACACAAATACAATTAAATATGTACATTAACATATGCAGTTTGGCATAAACCAATCAACTATACTGTAGGCTATACCTTAAGAAGCGAGGATACTGTCCTACTATGTACATTATGTTAGAAGCAACAATGGCCTTGTTGTCCTTTCCCTTCTTTTGTTCACACATGCTGAGGAGCTCCTGTGTGAGGAAGAGAGAGAGAGAGAAAAGGGAGTCATATAATAATAATAATAATAATAATAATAATAGTAATATTAATAAGGATATATAAAGGGCTTCACCTTGATGACAGTCACCAAGAATCTCTTCTCATCTTCTTCATGCATCGCGCCACTAATGGATCCAATGGCCCAGCATAACTAAAACAAAAAATACATGTACATCTAGTGCCTTCATTGCCCACAACTCCTTCTCAATCTTTATACATGTACATGTACTTACTGTGTTTAGATTCTTCCATGACCATTCTGAGCCATTGGCCTGTCTGTATAGCTTATCAGTCATGAGCTGCTCTGTATCAGAGTAATCCAAATGAGTTAGATAAACTGAGAAAGAGAGAGGGGGGGAAGAGGTAAGGAATGAAGAAAAAGAGAGAGATGTAAGACCTTCCATGAATTATAATAGTACAAAAGGATTAATACTAATTGTTACATGTAGAGTACAATTCATGAACATCACATGATGCATGTACATGTACTCTCTTTTAAAGGAAACATTACTCACATCAAACAAGAGTGCTTTCTATAGCACCACCCAATGTACATGTAGCACATTATAATACATGCAAATATTATACTAAACATAAATGTACTGCATTCATTATAAATGTACTGCATTCATTATAAATGTACATGTAGCAATTAAGTATAGGTTCTATGGTACATGCATATAACATTTACCTAGTGTTTCCCTCATTGTCTTGTACATGTTGATCGCGTCAGTGTCTTTCATTGTCTCCCGTACAACCTCCCCCTGGTCATTCTCAACCACTATCACTTCTTCTGGTTTAGCCATGCGACTTATCATCACAAGCCGGACCTAATAAAAGGGGTGTGGTCAGACAGAACCACGCCCACCAGAGATGCTACCTTGGAGAGGACCGGATGAAAGACTTGTCGCCTGTGATGAGGAGGAGACGAGGTTGATATAAGAAGGGGAGAGTGAGAGGCAGAGAAAGGATTCTCACGGTAAAGCCCGGCGGCAAAATGATTCCAATATTCGAGACAAATCTTAAATATCTCCTTTTCCTCGACAACAGAAATGAGAACCAGGTAATGTAGAGCCTTATATGGTATTAAAAAAAGAGAATGTACAAATGTACATATGTGCAATAATATATGTCATACCTCAAGGAGTGTATTTTGCATTTCAGCCTAAAGTGTGTAAAAATAAATAAAATAAAAAATATATGACACACGTTTTTCTGCATGTTGTATACATAGTACATACATGTACATATTTTATTGCAGTTAAAATAACCTTCTCAACTAACAGTAAAACTCCTGCTAGTTACTAATAAAAAAATTAAGGCACAATCTATTTCAGCATGACACAATTACTCTGCTAACCCATTTACAGTAAATAAATAAATGTACAGTACATGTACATGCAGATTATATAACCTTTGATTCTATTAGTTGCTGGTGCTCCTTGAGAAATGTGCATATGAATAAAGCCAGGTTCTGTATAAAGAACTGCTCAGAGTCTAATCCTTTCTTATATGCCTCTCTGATGTTAGTGGAGAGGGGGAGCATCTGAAAGAAAGAAAATATATTATAATTATTATAATAATGCAACTACATGTACATGAATTATTACTCAATGTGTATATACATATGTACGTATATGTACATGTGTGTGTATAGAACTGACTTGTTTGAGTTGAGTCATAACAAGAGAGAACATAACGATATATTGTTCACTGTACTGCTCTTCAGCCTGTATACCAGCTGGAGTGAGAAATATATATAAAAAAAGAAAATAAAAACAATATTTTAATGATACAACTGTACAGTAAATGTACCTATCTCTGTTAGACATTTCAGTGTTACATTCCTGAAAGCTGGCACATTGAGAAACTGCCAACAAAATAAACTAAATAGATAATATGTCACATGACTATACCTTGTATATGAGTGTTGATATCAGTTTGGTCTCAAATACGTAGCCTAATGGGATCCATGTCAAGAACTTTAAGAGCGTCTCCAACGTTTCGCTGATAAGAGAAGGACTCTGAGAATTATCCTATGAAAACAATAAGACAAAGATCGAGGAATGATGTTGTTAGCAGCATGCAAGTATGACATATTATACCATAACGAAAGAGCATAGCTGGAATATCTGTGAAAACTCTCCACACATGCTGTCTTTGAGATGCTTCGCTTTAACTTGCGTCATCTGACCACTACTGAAATCAAACACTTCCTCACTATAAACAAATGAAAATGAACACAAGTCATATACCCCGACCAGTATACATCAGCCACAATATGAAACAGAAAGATAAACAAGTAACATACATTGTACACGCAATAAAAATAACCATACACATACCAATATCAGTTATCTGTCAATATTAATTCATATAAATCAAGGAGCTGCATGTACATGCAAAATACAATACAGTACATGTATCTTTATTAAATGAACAAAAAATACTGTATGCTCCAAGTCCCTGTGCTATAGTACAGGGTCATTGGCCAAATTTCGCCAAAAATGAAAAGGAGAGAATTTTCAATTTTAGTAATATTTTCTGATAAACATACATGTACATGTTCTTATGCTGTGTAGAAATTAATTAAGTTTGAGCTGATTCCAATCAAAATTAAATTTTTAATAATTTTTTAAGTTGCTCCAAAATTGGGCCAAAGTATATAGGGCTATACAGGGACTTGCGGGTGAAATTTTGCCAAAAATAAAAAGAGAAGATTCTTAATTTTTCTTTGTAGTATATGTACTAATAAAAAATTATAAAAAAAGGTTTTAAAGCATCAGAACTACATGTAAATGTCAAGTATAGTACATGGATTTAAGTGTGAAGATGTACATGTACTTCCTTGCCAAAACTACAATAAAAAAATTACCCATTACAATACATGCACACTAAACACTGTGTACCTGAGGAGTTTTAAGATGGACATGTTGTTCTGACAGAGAGACTTGTTAGTTTTACTAGAGCCAACAATATCACTAATAAATGTGGGCCAATTTCGAGGCCACTCATGTTTAACGATCTGGACAAGGATGATGTTAAGCTTTGAAAGGTAAACCTTTTGTTCCTACAGAAGGAAGAAGAGAGATCATTATTACAAAGAAAATAGCGTGAAAAGGAATAAAAGACAAAGTGAAAAGGAGACAAAAGAAGTAGCAAGATTGTATTATTATGACGAGTGCAATCACACTAACCAATAGTGTATCAGCATCAGATGAATACTTAATAATGAGGCCAACGATGTACTTCTTAATACCTAAGAAGCATGTAATGAAACAAATTGTTATTTTATATCAAGCCACATACCTTCACATTGTTGTCTCGGAAGTATCTTCCATCTTGTCTTTATGAGTGATTCAAGGATTTGAAGAGCAAAGTACTGCAGAGATAAAGAGAAATACATAATATATGTACATGTGTACATGGAATGATACACTTGCATGAAAAGCAGAAGCGAATGAAACACAACCACTCTCTATTGAATAATAAAAGCATGTACATGTACATAAACAAAAGATTTTTGGTATTACTATAACCTGTGAATTAACTGATATTGCAGATGTACAACTTTTTAAAATAAAGGTAAAAAAAATTATGGAAATTGCTACATTATTCTGTTCCTACTTTTGTTTGTTGATCTTGCGAAAATTCTAGGATAGCATCAACACGCGTCCACGCATCAGCATGTTCCTTGAATTCATGGAGTATCCTACCAGCAATCTGTTGCTGTAATGAAGAGAAAGATAAAAAGGTTAATTATTTTGCGGCCTTACTTCTGCTCCAGTGCTAGAGTAGAAACAGGCTACGACAGAATCCAACAATGCAATGTCTAATTTTTGATTGAAATCCAACAAAGTCATTGCTTTATCGGCAAAAGCAGGAGCAGCATTGTATGTACCAGGAGATGTCAACAAATCAGCAGAACCAGCCATGATTATACATTCACTATAGCGTAGGTTAGTACGAAGCTAAGAATCCCAATAGTCAATATATAATATTCTAAATTATAATAATTAATTATAATTATATTATAACTGACTTACATTAAATCTCTAGACAAAATGTTAAAGTATTAAAATCTTACGGACAAAATTCAATTCCAGGAGTGTTTTAAGTACTGCCAAGTATGTAATGGGCTCGTTTTGATGGTCAGTTGTGGAGTGAGTAATTTTAAATGATTGGTGAGCTGGGGCGGCATAAAGCAACGTGTTACGGTGGACTTAGAGCCTCAGGATAAAACTTGGAGTCTTCCTCGTTGCGTCTGTACTGCACTGAAAGCCGAAAGCAATGGAAATGGTTAAAAATATGGAGTATCAATGCTTCAATGACCAGCTTTAGGGCAGAAAAGACCGGTTTACTTGGTAGGCGTGGTCTCTTGATTAATAAATAAACTTGCACGTGCAAACCATGTTCGAGTTTCCCCCGGTAATAAATCACGTGACCTTAAATAGGTGTGGTTATAGTTATTAACCGTGGGTGTAGCTGGTTAATTATAACGTGGGTGTTGCAAATGCAATTATGATGTTTGCAAGCAGTGTAAATACAAACAGATAACTTTCAAATAAATTTCATAATTGGTACTATTGAAAGCTACCAGTGTAAAATTACAACAGGTCTAGAATTAAATCCAGAATAAAAAAGATGATGATAAAAATGATAATGATAAATATTATTAATAATAACAGTAACAACAACATAATAATAATAGTTTAAAATCAATGAATACAATACACATACATGTCATCACGGAGACTGTGGGGATTCTGTTCCATTTGTGCTTGCTTCGGACTCGCTTGCTCTCAGCCATCTTGTGGACTCTGTTCTCCCTCTATCTCTACCAGAGACTCCCCTCTTGTTCTTATGATTTGAACTAACTCCAGGGATAGGTAGATCAGTAATCACATCATCCTCAAGCTCACTATCAATAACAACGACTGAGGGAGAGGGAGGGGAAAGATTCTCGTTTCCGGTGTCTTCTTCTTCTATAACCTTTATTTCCTCTTGTCCACCCCCAGGAAGGTCTACTGTTATTGTATAATGACCGACTGAGCCTTGTCTATGTCTTGGTCTTCTCTCTGTCACTGTGCTTCCGCCATTACTGGTTTCGTTTGTCGATACGGCCTCGGGTTTCATTAGTTTTCTCTTTACTGCTAGTCCAACGAAGCATATAATGGATCCTATTATGAATCCGACTAGTAAACCGCCAATGACTCCTCCTACCATCTCACCTACTGATGGCATAGTTGTAGTACCAACAGAGCCTATAGTGGGTTGAACAGTAGGTGCATGTAAGGTACTAGTGACAGGTTCAGTGGTGACTAAGATGATACGAGTGGTGGTGACTAAAGTGGTACGAGTGACGGTGACTATGGGAGTGCTAGAAACAGCATTTCTAGTGGAAGAAGTGGATACAGTAGTAGAGGCAGTAATGGTTCTGACTGTTTTTGATGGAATATTACTTGAAGATGGTACAAATACTATGCTAATGCTTGTACTACTTGCACTGTTTGGTGGAGCACAATAATCGAGTGTATTTGATGGAGGATTCATGGCTTCTTGAGCTTTACTCAGTAATTTGTTAATACAGGAGCCATTCTGCCAGGAACAGTACAGGTCACGGGATTCCAAGCATTCCATGCATGTCATGTATCTTGAGCAATTTCCATGTGTCACGTCAGCAACTAGACCCTCAGTACTTGCATAGATCCTTCGTATCTTAGTCTCATTTGAGATACTGAGTAACATCTCTATTACTGACTCATTGCTTAACTTGATGTCATCTAATGTCTTGAATAGTTTGCCATTAGAAAAAACTGATGTAAATATCCTTCCATCTTTAGTGCCTACATATACTGCCTCATAAACTGAGTTATTGTATTTGAACATATCGACTACTATTGATGTGAATGTTTGTCCATCTCTTGTTAAAATAGCAGAGGATTCAACTTCCCCAACTAACAACTGATGACGTTGAGACTCGGATTCAGAACGTTGTCGTCCCGACTTTCCAGGACAGACGAATGCATTCTCCATTTCTTCTGCCAGTGTAGTAGAAGACCCAGTTACATAATATTTAATTTGGGTATCACTGTCAAACAGGGAGTTAATGTTTCCAGTCACAGTTGGATCAAAACTAAACTTACAAACAGCTGTGCCTTCAGGGCCATTGATAGATGAAGAGAAAGTAGCATACAGCGTTGGGGATGGTGTCGAATCATTTTGCCAGTTCAAGTAAGTAGATATAATTCTATCATAATAAAATTTGGGGGAAGATTTGTGTCGGGAGTAAGAGCAAGTAATGCGGACTTTCTGAAAAGTACTGAATAAAACTGGAGGGATATTTCCAATCAGAAAACCAGGGTCAGATTTACAAAACCTCACAACACGTGCATAAGTTATTGAATTTCCTTCGTCCACTTCTTCTGCTGGCTCATTCAGAAACACATAAATGTAATCTCCGATCTCGTAGATGCTGACAAAGTCGGTACTGGAGATGGAGAACCAGATAGGACTGCTTGAATGCGTGTTTATGTCAAATGACCTATTAAATCTAAGAGGATGAAGGGCAACTGAGATTCTAAAACTCGTGCTAAATCGCCCAAAGTTTGTCCCAGTGTAGAACCTCCCGTTAGACCCCAATAACCCAATGCTCTTTGAAGTGACAGAATAAGGAGAAAAACCAATTAAAGCATTCCCAGTTTCGAACTCAATCCAATCTGATAAATTATAAATCTTATGGAATGTGCATTTGGGATAGAAGGCATTCGTCCCACAGACCATAACAGAGTCATTGAGTGCCGTCTCCATTGAGTCGTTGGAGAGCATCGCAGCTGATAATGCTGCAGACGAAACTTGCTGCAGTACACGAACCACATTGCCGCACTCTGTGCTAGAGTCTAAGGTCACTGTATCTATTTTACATTGCGATATTCTATCACTGCTGGGCGCTATGGAGAAGGATTCTTTTACCTCTAGTCTCGGGCTGGTGTCGAATGAATAAATGGAGTTGTTTCCGCCAACAAGGAGAACTTGGCCTGCTAGAGAGAGCTGGGTAACTGATAGCCCGGTGCATGCTCTGCCGTACGAGACTGTCCGACAATTAGGAGAACTACTAGCTGTTACTAGAAGGCAAAAGATGGAGGAGAGTAACAGGGCAGCCTTCATGATGAAATTCTTCTTTGCAAAGCTGCGAGAAGACCTCTTTTTTAATAATTATAAAATGCAGGCGTGGTCAAACCAGTACTCCTCCGTATACTTCAATTAGTAAATATTGGGTAGCCTTGGCTTGGTCCTAAAACTCCTATAACTAAATTATGTTTTGTCTCAGAGGGAGAGAAGTGAGAACACATTACACCTTTTAATTACTTTTCCTTTCAATTAGCTGCTACCAAGGCTACTCCACAGGCACAGTTCCTGTCTGGCTCCTGGAAAGCTAAGATCTAATGTTGTGACTGCTTCTCATATTGGTTAGTATCGCATTACATGTTGGGCACTAATTAGAGCGATCCTTTCCCCCATATAGATTCTGTTTCGAAGTCGTCAAAGTTGAGGTGGGTTGGGCAGTAAGAGACGGTACAATGGGGGCGGTATTTAGTGGAGCATTTGAGTTAACGATTTAATAAAAGATCAATTTTAATGCTATTATTGTTATTGTTTTACTAACGTTTGATATATTAGCATTTTCCCTTGTATAGATTTAATGTAATATACCATTGGCATCTAGTTTGCATACATTTGCCTAATGTGTACATCAGATACTCATTTAGTGCATGATGAATATGTGCATGTACATGAATTTATGACCATAATAATTAACGTCCATTAAAAAGGTATGCATGTACCTTTATTTTCCATTTTAATGTCAAAATTTGTTTTTTGTTTTTTACACGAAAATTACAAGTATGTTGTATTTATGTACATGTACATGTAGAGAAGATTTGTAGTTGGCCGGTAGGATTTATTAAGTTCGCATTCCAAGTTATATTTGTTAATTTTTTGTTTTTGGTTGGTATTATTAAAATTTGATTGATTCCTTGATGACTGGATGCTTTGAATATTTCAGTAAATATGAGTGTCATTGCAAATTCCAGCTGCTGTTTTTAACATGGACTGTAGTTTTGGCGCTATTTTGTCTGGGATGAGTGACAGCTACTCTTGACTTTAATTGTACATGTACAAGTAGGAGTAGTACTATTATATTCTTGTCTCTGTGTGTGTGCATGTGAAAGTATCTGCCATAACTACTACAGTGGAATTCATTCTACTTCCTGGTACTAACTACATGTATATGCATGTAGTTTGATGTGTATTTGTTTTCTCTTATAGCTTACCAATTAGCTCTGGCAGTCACCACAGGCTACTGGCTTCAGTATTATCACCTATAAAGTTTCAAAGATTTGTTAGCTCTTCGTCAATTTTGTGTAAGTAATGATATGTTGAATTATGTACATACCTGCATGATCTTCTTTGGTGTGAGGTTCATACTAGACTACAGAGTTCATGAAATTATCATATCATGATATGATAGTGTTTGTATGTCTCAGGATATCTTATCCTCTGTCTGTATAGGAATCATTAGATATTTTAATTTAGTTTATTGTAATTATCGTTACTCCGCTGCTTGTCAATTGTGACTCATAGTTGCGATTATATCTCATAGTTTGGTTGTAAGTGGGTGTGGGTGTGTGTGTGTCTAGTTTTTGATGTGGTCAAACTGTCATGAAAACTGTCACACTTGAATTCAAATATTAACAAGAAGATGCCATTGGATGGCTGTCTCTCCATGTGTGTTTGATATATCACCATAATTGTGAATAGCAGTGGGTATATATCTTTCAATTAAGTAATTTCCTTTCGATTTTGATGCATATGGTCAGACTCAGAGTAAGAGCCCAAATAAGAATCTTTGCTATGTATTGTTCATCTATTTTAAATGTTATTTTAAAGTGAAACATATGAATAATGTATATATTTACAAACATTTATGTGTAAGTATAGTTACATGTTTGTATGTGCATGGAGCTGGATAAATTCTACCTTTTCCATCTCTCCCTCTCTCTCTTTCTCTCTCTTTCTCTCCAGGTAATGAGTATAAGATAGTTAATACTCCTGCATTTGCTGAGTCAATCTCGGAGGGCGATGTAAAGTGGGACAAAAGTAAGTCAACACTTGTTACTGTGTATACATGTATGTACACGTGTATATGTGCATGTGTATGTGCATTTACAGCCTAAAATTAAATAGTTAAATGTCTAATTGTTCATGATTGAGCCTGTGAATTCTTGTTCTGTCATGCCTCTAATTGTCTCTAGTTACATTCATTTCTACATGTACATGTATGTTTGATGGGATGTAATAATTAAGCATAAAAATTGTTAATACAATTGACATGTACACCTACATGTACATGTATCCGTATTTGTATATACCTAGTACCTGCTACCTGTACATGTTTGTTAAATCTACTTAAGTATGTTGTATATGTTTCTCATTGTAAAGGATGATTTAGTAGTGGTGATGTATTTGACACATTCAAGTTTTATGGTATCTTCCTATTACTAGCATAATCATGTGTAAAGCAACCTTCAATAGCTTTCTCATTGACTTCTTTATAGTAGACACATTTGTGGCATCAGCCCATAGACTCCAAGCTATGTTTGTGTACTGCTAATGACCAATGATGGTCTAATGTCATTTGTACTGTCCAGCTAGCTCCCATTACAATGTATAAACTCTAATTACTATTGCTATATAATGATGCATGGCTTCAGTTTTTAGTAGAAGAGAGGGAGAGAGAGGGGGAGAAGAATAAGAGTTTGAAAACTAAAAAATTAAGAATGGCATTCTTGCATTTGCATGACTAGATCTACTGTACATACACATGTACATGTATTAGCTAGTTTGGTTCAGATGTTGGAGATTAGTGATTGATTGCTTTCATGTGATGTTGTATCTATTGATAAACAGCATTGATGGGTATATGTGGGCTCTCCTGGTTTGGTATTACAGATACAAGAATAGTTCATACCATTCATATCTTGTCTCCATGCGATTGAGCACATGGAACTTGTACAGCAACTATAAGTATGATGTATTTCATAATAAATTGTGCAAATATAGTCATACATACATTGTATGTGTGTGTGTGAATAGAGTTGTTTATATCTTTTTTCTATATTCATGATTTGCACACCTTAATTCTTTCCTTTATTAATCCTCTCTCAAAGATGTTGGCGATTTTGTTAAAGAAGACGAAATTATAGCAGAGATTGAAACTGATAAGGTAATTGAATTATGTAGCGTACATGTATTACCTGTGAAAGGATGAGAAGTCATGTCACTGCTATCCTAGATTAACACAATATATGTACATTTTCTGTATAGTAGTAATTCCCATGCATCCAATATTTATGGACTCTCCTAATTTTAGTAGTATAGTGCATTTATGTGTAGAGGATGTTAAAAAAGGATGCATGTAACTGTATCTACTCTATCCAAATCACTTCCTTCACACGTACTTTTAGAAGGTTGTCTCCGGGTTAATTCCCATGAACTACATGTACATGGATATACTTGTACATATAAATTATTACCAGCTGTATTCTTATGTATTGAATCCTACTGATAATCCTATATCTAATCATCTTATTACTCGTTGGGTGGTTTTAATTTAGAGTTCAGTGTAATTCTGATAATTTATTTACTTGTGCATGTGTATTTATTATAATTTCCGCTAAGTCGAGACCGCGGAGGCTTCTTACTATCATATTAAGAAACTTAATTATCAACATGAGCATGTACATATGTGAAGTGTGGTTTCTTATTTTTGATCCTATATTTATATATTTCTCCTTCTCTTTATAGACTGCTATTCCTATACCTTCCCCTGTGTTTGGAATCATTGAAGAAATATTTGTACCTGACGGGGAGAAAGTGGTAGCTGGGGACCAGCTATGCAAAATAAAAGTATCAGGTAAGCACATGTACGTGCATGTACATGTACATGCACATGTACATAATAGAATTGCTTAATTGTGTATTGTCACACTATATACTTATCTCATTAATTATTTGCTATTTGAAGTTCTTTAAAATATTTGTACTTTCTACTCTTGTTAAGTGACAAGATTCACACATTCATCATGCATTATTCATGAGGAGACATAGTACAATTAGTACACAGTCCATAGTAGTAGTGTAGTAGTTGTAGTGATTGTCAGTACATATAATTACATTTGTATATTGGTGTGGCATCTGTTGATATAATTTAAAAGTGCAAGGTCTGTGGTTTCTGTTGCTGTTATGTCACCATGACATCATTGCAGTCCATCTTTGTATGTATACATATTGAATGACACGTACAATAATAGTGTTAGCTGATGTACCCCTTAGCTATTATGAAATAATACTGGTATGTGTATGGATTTGCTCTATGGCCAGTATGGTATTCAGCTCGTGTAGCTCTAAATTACACTTGTTTATGGATTAATGGTATATTATTATGCTGAATGTGAATGTTGTTAATGTTTATTTGTGTTTATGCGAGGAGGTTATTGGGTATAACTTTGTTAGTATTTAGTTGATTCTTTGCTGTCACTGGTCTGCCTCATTTCCTGTGATACTCAGCTAAAGTTTGACAACTTACTACATAACCTCTTAATGAATATAGGAAGACTGTCTGCCTGTGACACTCACTGTTAGATGGTGACATTAAATATATAGAGCTGTAGATTTAGCACTACATGTACAGTAGGTACTGTATATTATGTTAAAATCATTCCACTTTATTAAAAGATATTTTGTAATCTCATTCAACCTCCAAAGATACATGTACATGTATGTATAATGATTTTTATTATTCATTTCCAGCTGAAGCACCTCCTCCAACAGCATCACCTCCTACACCCAAAGAAAGTGCCACACCTCCTCCTCCCCCTCCTTCCCCTCCCTCTGCTCCTCCTCCTCCTTCTGCCCCTTCTGCTGCTGGTCCTATACCAACTACGCCTCCCCCACCTCCTCCTTTACCAAGTACATCCTCTTTTCTATTTCTTTTTCAAATCTACAATGTATTTGCACCAGCTGCATCATGACAATTTAATTTTTAACTTTTAAAATTTTCTAATTTTGTAGCAATGCCATTAGGTAATATTCCTCCTCCTCCTCCTCTTCCGTCATTTTCTGCTCCCTCTCAGTCTGTGGGTGTGGTCAGTCGTTCGGAGAAAAGAGTAAGGAACTGATGACTATTATAATATAGAAATCATTTTTATCATTTCTGCAGTTGTAATGTTAAAATTTTTAATAACTTTGCAATTATTAGCAAATTAATACAGTATGTACATGTACATGTACTTCTATCTTTAATAAACTTAGATGTACATGTATGATTATTAACTTTTGTTTTTCATGTCAATCCTTCTCTCTCTCTCTCTCTCTCTTTGTTTCCAGACAAAGATGTCAAGGATGAGACAGAGGATAGCCGAGAGGCTCAAGGAGGCACAGAATGTCAATGCAATGCTCACCACTTTCAACGAAGTGGACATGTCTAGCGTCATTGAGCTTAGGAAGAAGTTTCAAGACGCATTTGTAAAGAAGCATGGTATCAAGCTTGGATTCATGTCGCCATTTGTAAAGGCAGCTTGCTCAGCACTTGAGGATCAACCAGTAGTAAATGCAGGTTATTAGTCTTTTCTTAATTTAAATTACAGCACACGTAATTATTATAAAAAATTTTTTACACTTATTAAATTTTTATGGGTTATTGCTATTGATCAAAAATGATCAAAATTTCATGTGTCTTTGTGTATCCTTATTATAGTTATTGATAATAATGAAATCATCTATAGAGATTACATTGATATCAGTGTTGCAGTAGCTACACCAAAGGTAACAGCAGTGCAGTATTTTATACTCATTTATTAGTTCGTTTATTTAATTCACATGCAGGGTTTAGTTGTTCCTGTTGTAAGAAATGTCAATGTTATGAATTATGCTGACATTGAAAAAGAGATTGCAAGCCTGGGACAAAAGGTATTTTCTGATGCTTTTTGATGTATTTATGCTGTTCAGAAAGTTTGGGACAATTCTGACTTTAATTTTTTGAGTTATGTCCATTTTAAAAATGAGCCAATTTCTGAAAAATGCCCAATGCTATAGCCCATGGTTTTTTCCGAAAAATAGCTCCGAAATCACCCCCCATTTTTATTACATTTTCTGATACATATTGATGTCCTTATGCTATCTAGAAAGTTTGAGCCAATTCCGACTTAGATTTTTCGAGTTATGGCCATTTTTTAAAAACTCCAAATTTCTGAAAAGTACCCAAGGCTATAGCCCATGGTTTTTTCCGAAAAATGGCTCCGAAATTACCCCCAGTTTTTATTACATTTTCTGATACATATTGACGTCCTTATGCTATGTAGAAAGTTTGAGCCAATTTTGACTTAAATTTTTTGAGTTATGGCCATGTTTTAAAAACTCCAAATTTCTGAAAAGTACCCAAGGCTATAGCCCATGGTTTTTTCCGAAAAATGGCTCCGAAATCACTCCCCATTTTTATTACATTTTCTGATACATATTGACGTCCTTATGCTATCTAGAAAGTTTGAGCCAATTTTGACTTAAATTTTTCCAGTTATAGCCATTTGAAATGTTGTATAAAGTTTGTGCCATTTTTTAAACTTTTGGTAGTGCCTATAAGTATACTTATACATGCCTCATGATTTTCCTTTTCTGTACAGGCAAGAGATGTGCATTGGCAGTAGAGGATATGGATGGAGGTACTTTCACTATCAGTAACGGAGGAGTGTATGGCTCAATGTTTGGTACACCAATCATTAATCCACCACAGTCAGCCATACTGGGCATGCACGGGGTCTTTGATAGACCTGTTGCTATTGAAGGAAAAGTAAGCCCTGTTATTATTAATCGAAAATAAACATAATAGAAATTGTCACATTATTTTCGATAGTAATACAATTAATATTTTACAGGTTGAGATTCGCCCAATGATGTATATAGCACTAACCTATGATCATAGATTAATTGATGGTCGTGAAGCTGTGCTCTTCCTTAGGAAAATCAAGTCAGGAGTTGAAGACCCACGCAGTCTGTTATTAGACCTTTAGATGTAATTGTATGTGGACTGTATACTATATGTTTAATGGAGTGTACATGTACACACACGCTATACAATAATAAATAGAAATGATGTATACCAATGGTTCTTTTATGTGTGTGCAATGTACATTAATAGTAGCTTCATATTAATATTGAGTTACTATCACTCAGAGAGAATTACGGCAGCCTTTTGCGCTTTCATTTCTTCAAACAAATACGCAGTACCTATTCTTTTACAATCAAAATTAAATTGTGAACAAAGTTGTCATTTAATGTATGTATAGATGGTGTACTGTACACGATTGTGAGTTTAATTTTCTGATTTCTTGTTCTGTTTGAGAGGAGACATGATGAATACATAAAATAGTATCAGGATTATGAATATAAATATAGCCGCTAGTGTCGTTTTTCTGTTCTCCTTTCTCAAATGAGCCAGCTTGCTTTCTAGTTTTGAAAAATACAAAACATGAACTACACGCTCAATATAGTACATGTAGCTAAATGATTATTAGGCTCAGTACTTTACTCTGCTTAGTTTATGGCTAAGGTTTGTTGCAATACCTTTCTCCTCCACGTCTGCTTTTAGTGTTTCGGCTATTTTGTACAATATTCTCCTGCAAAAGAGGCTGAAATATGATCTACAGGCATCATTTTTTAAATCTCTAACCTGTCTGGCTCATTTGTAACCGATTTGAGTTGATTATCAATATCATCTAGTTGTATCTTAAAAGCTGCTGTCTCCTTCTCCAAACGACTAATCTGAAATATACTACATTGTAGCTGCACATGGCAGTCTTGTTTCAAGCTCACCTGACCAACTATTGTTGTAGCAGCAGACATGATGATGACATAGATATTAGAGTAAATATGATGATGATTGCTGCTTCAGCCACACCCATTTATTTTTTATTATTAGGGACAGTTTTTTATTATTAGTATTTATAGTATAATTTTTGATTAAAAGACAAGATATAACTGAATATAATACCTACATTTCGTCATAACATTGTAATGGGAAAAGTGCAGTTACATTAAGTGCAGTTAGATCTACATTATCATTGTCAGAATGATCATCGTCAATCTTGATAGTTTCATTGGATATCTCTTGTTGCTTTGCATGTATTTCCTCCAACTACAAAGATAACAGTATAAAGGTAGAATCAGCCTCAACCCAACCATTACTCTTTGTGTAAGTCTTTCCTTGATGACATTTTTCACAAGTTTCCTTTTTTTCAAAAGCTCATACTGCATACATCAGTTCTTCTGACTTTAAAATTACCTCTTCCAATACTCTGTAAAGGATTGAACGTAGCCTTTTTATAACTATACAGAGCTGTTTACGTTTCCGAGCTATTTTCTGAGTCAGAGTCTGAGCCTTTAGTAGTACCACTCTCTTCCATTTTTAAAGCTAACAGCCTAGCATACTAGCAGCACCGCCAAAACATAGGCGTGGTTTCCAGAATTTCATTAATATCATTATTATTCATAGACATCGAACAACAAAAGCGCAGTGGCGCAAAAAATGGCCCAAGTACTGATTCTTTCTACTATTATATCGATTTGGAATTATAGCAACCTGCAGGTCCTTGCTTATGGCATTTGCAGTGCTCATTCTAGGTCTTTGCTCTGGCCTAGCTCAGGCTTTTTTTCATGACTGCTCAGAACCTGGTGCTCAAGTTATTACATTAGAGAGGAAGAGCATTGCATTGATAGATGATGTTGGTTATTATTATTCTGCTGCAGTCTACATGTGTCACAACAATGAGTACATACCAGTTTGCTCTAATGCAATACGGTCATTTGAGGCAGCCTTAGTGTGCTCTACTACATTAGATCTGTATGCAACTAATGGTATGTTAAGTGAAAGATACATGCACCAATTTCATATTTAATTTTAACAGTTCCTGGAGTTGCAATTGGCAATTTATCAGACTATCAGCCAGATAAATATAGAGGGCCTTACTACAAAAATGTGACGTGTCTGGGAAATAAAATAGATCCAAGCCTTTGTCATGTTGAGGTTGGTTATGATAACAGGTCATGCAGAGGTCATGGTGGGGTTGCTGTTGTTTCATGCTTCACTGAAGGTAGGTATTTCAATTTTGGCTTTTACATTGATCATTTTTTCTTAAATCTAGGTTGTGAGGAGTCCCTAGTAAGCATTGATAGTACAGTATCATCACTATCATATGATTATTATAATGGA